TGCCAAAGGTGCTTCAACAAAGTACTGAGTAAAGGGTCTGAATACTCATGTAAATGTGATATTTTTTTTATTTATTTTTTACAAAACATACAAACCTGTGTTTGCTTTGGGATTATGGGGTATTGTGTGTAGATTGATGAGGGGAGGGGGGGGGGGAAACAATTTAATCAATTTTAGAATAAGGGTGTAATGTAATAAAATGTGGAAAAAGTCAAGGGGTCTGAATACTTTCCGAATGCATTGTATGTGGATGAGTTGAGTTACAGTGGGGAGAACAAGTATTTGATACACTGCCGATTTTGCAGGTTTTCCTACTTACAAAGCATGTAGAGGTCTGTAATTTTTATCATAGGTACACTTCAACTGTGAGAGACAGAATCTAAAACAAAAATCCAGAAAATCACATTGTATGATTTTTAAGTAACTAATTTGCATTTTATTGCATGACATAAGTATTTGATCACCTACCAACCAGTAAGAATTCCGGCTCTCACAGACCTGTTAGTTTTTCTTTAAGAAGCCCTTCTGTTCTCCACTCATTACCTGTATTAACTGCACCTGTTTGAACTCGTTACCTGTATAAAAGACACCTCTCCACACACTCAATCAAACAGACTCCAACCTCTCCACAATGGCCAAGACCAGAGAGCTGTGTAAGGACATCAGGGATAAAATTGTGGCTGGGATGGACTACAGGACAATAGGCAAGCAGCTTGGTGAGAAGGCAACAACGGTTGGCGCAATTATTACAAAATGGAAGAAGTTCAAGATGACGGTCAATCACCCTCTGTCTGGGGCTCCATGCAAGATCTCACCTTGTGGGGCATCAATGATCATGAGGAAGGTGAGGGATCTGCCCAGAACTACACGGCAGGACCTGGTCAATGACCTGAAGAGAGCTGGGACCACAGTCTCAAAGAAAACCATTAGTAACACACTACGCCGTCATGGATTAAAATCCTGCAGCGCACGCAAGGTCCCCCTGCTCAAGCCAGCGCATGTCCAGGCCCATCTGAAGTTTGCCAATGACCATCTGGATGATCCAGAGGAGGAATGGGAGAAGGTCATGTGGTCTAATGAGACAAAAATAGAGCTTTTTGGTCTAAACTCCACTCGCCGTGTTTGGAGGAAGAAGAAGGATGAGTACAACCTCAAGAACACCATCGTAACCGTGAAGCATGGAGGTGGAAACATCATTCTTTGGGGATGCTTTTCTGCAAAGGGGACAGGACGACTGCACCGTATTGAGGGGAGGATGGATGGGGCCATGTATTGCGAGATCTTGGCCATCAACCTCCTTCCCTCAGTAAGAGCATTGAAGATGGGTCATGGCTGGTTCTTCCAGAATGACCACGACCCGAAACACACAGCCAGTGCAACTAAGGAGTGGCTCTGTAAGAAGCATCTCAAGGTCCTGGAGTGGCCTAGCCAGTCTCCAGACCTGAACCCAATAGAAATCTTTGGAGGGAGCTGAAAGTCCGTATTGCCCAGCGACAGCCCCCGAAACCTGAAGGATCTGGAGAAGGTCTGTATGGAGGAGTGGGCCAAAATCCCTGCTGCTGTGTGTGCAAACCTGGTCAAGACCTACAGGAAACGTATGATCTCTGTAATTGCAAACAAAGGTTTCTGTACCAAATATTAAGATATGCTTTGCTGATGTATCAAATACTTATGTCATGCAATAAAATGCAAATTAATTACTTTAAAATCATACAATGTGATTTTCTGGATTTTTGTTTTAGATTCCGTCTCTCACAGTTGAAGTGTACCTATGATAAAAATTACAGACCTCTACATGCTTTGTAAGTAGGAAAACCTGCAAAATCGGCAGTGTATCAAATACTTGTTCTCCCCTTTGTATGTAAATGCCTTCAAACCTAGTGAAAAGAGCTTTATGGACAGGTTTCCCAGATTACTACTGTGCACTAGGCTTAATCTGTGGACTAGTAGGCTTAATCTGTATCTGGGGAAAACAGCCCTATAAGCAAGCTGAAGTTTTATTATGCCATTTATAGGAATACATTTAATATATATTATGCCATTTAGCAGACGCTTTTATCCAAAGCGACTTGCAGTCATGCGTGCATACATTTTTTTTTAGGTATGGGTGGTCCCGGGGATCGAACCCACTACCCTGGCGTAACCAGCTGAGCTACAGAGGACGCCATTTTGGGAATGTGTTTTTCTAAGAGTTAACGACAATTAAGAAACACAGAAGAAGAGCCATTCTCAGGGTTTATGTTAATAATGATCCATCTCTCCTTTTTCCAGGCCCAGCCTTCAACTACCTGGACGCTCCTGCCGTCAGAGTGACTGGTGTAGACATCCCAATGCCATACGCTAAGATCCTGGAGGACCACAGTGTACCTCAGATCAAAGACATTATCTTCTCAGTCAAGAAGGTCTTGAATATGTAAACATACCAATGTCTCCCTCCCTCTCCCACCCCTCTGTTACTTGCAGACCAACCTTATTTACCTTTTAAGTATTTACTTATACAATAGTAAGTACTGCAGGAAGTACTTATCTCCCCCCCCCCCCCATGTCAATTTACCAGTAAATATACACACATCTCTACAGGAAAATAGTCCCTATTCACATCACTACAGGACAATTGTCCTTATTCACATCACATGACTACAGGAAAATATTCCTTATTCACAACACTACAGGAAAATGGTCCTTATTCACATCACATGGCTACAAGAAAATAGTCCTTATTCACATCACATGGCTACAGGAAAATAGTCCTTATTCACATCACACGACTACAGGAAAATAGTCCTTATTCACATCACACGACTACAGGAAAATAGTCCTTATTCACATCACACGGCTACAGGAAAATAGTCCTTATTCACATCACACGGCTACAGGAAAATAGTCCTTATTCACATCACACGGCTACAGGAAAATAGTCCTTATTCACATCACATGGCTACAGGAAAATAGTCCTTATTCACATCACACGGCTACAGGAAAATAGTCCTTATTCACATCACACGACTACAGGAAAATAGTCCTTATTCACATCACACGGCTACAGGAAAATAGTCCTTATTCACATCACACGGCTACAGGAAAATAGTCCTTATTCACATCACACGGCTACAGGAAAATAGTCCTTATTCACATCACACGACTACAGGAAAATAGTCCTTATTCACATCACACGGCTACAGGAAAATAGTCCTTATTCACATCACACGACTACAGGAAAATAGTCCTTATTCACATCACATGGCTACAGGAAAATAGTCCTTATTCACATCACACGGCTACAGGAATATAGTCCTTATTCACATCACACGGCTACAGGAAAATAGTCCTTATTCACATCACATGGCTACAGGAAAATAGTCCTTATTCACATCACACGACTACAGGAAAATAGTCCTTATTCAGATACAGTAATACCTACATGTACTTGCACTTCTGTTTCCTGTTTGGATGGTGGACAGACAAGACAGTGATGTCAAGTAAACCAACTAACTCATCAACGTTGTATAGTAGAGATCTGTCATTGATCCATTGATGAAAATACTCGAAGAAGAAGAAGACGTTGTTTGTAAGGACATGTATTTATTATGGCTGATATTATTGTACCAACTCCAGACTGTATTATTGTATTTCTGTAAATGGCTCTGTTACAGAAATAAAACTCCCATTTTATCAGTCTCTGAATAAGAGTCTCCGCGAAATGACTAAAATTAGAAATGTAAGTTCATGGTGATTTACACTGAACAACCAGGGACAAATGGATCCAATCCCAGGATCCCAGGATCTAGCTGGATTCAAGACTAGGCGTTCCATGTGTGGCAGTGCAAGGTGGCAGAATCAAGGAGCCAGAGGAGGTGGTAGGTGAGGATGAGGAGGACCCATGGTTGGACAAAAACAAGACATTAATTGATTTCAGATGAAGAATTTCAGGATACATGCCTTGTCTTGGAAAAACAGTTGTCCATAGCAGTAACATTCAGGACACAAAAATGACAATTTAGGCTTTATCATTTTTTAAATAAATAATATCAGATACTATCTTATAGAAATACTTTTAATTATTATTCGTATGATAAGTAGTATAATATATTTTCCATAATTATTCATGTACATAGAATAAGGACAGGATTTATTCTGAAGAGTTACAAAAATCCGTGACCCGGAAATACTTAGTTATTCTTTCCTGTTTCACAGTGACGTATATCACCAATGATTTTCTATTATATTAACAAGATATTCGAGTGACCGCTCTAACAATGGAAATACATGTCCTCAAAGATGGAAGGCAGGCGGGAGGAGACAAGATCAGGTGGGACCATTCTATCCAATGAGACAGCAGAGACGCTGTGCACAATAGGTCATAGAGATAGAGGACTCATTTACATTTTAGTCATTTAGCAGACGCTCTTATCCAGAGCGACTTACAGTTAGTGAGTGCATACATTTATTTTTTCATACTGGCCCCCCGTGGGAATCGAACCCACAACCCTGGCGTTGCAAACACCATGCTCTACCAACTGAGCTACATCCCTGCCGGCCATTCCCTCCCCTACCCTGGACAACGCTGGGGAAATTGTGCGCCGCCCCATGTTATTTTAACATCTGTGACACTTTAAAGCAGTCAATTTTCTTCTTCATTGACTGATCGCTCCCAACGCATGAATCCCCACCCAGTTGACAACTTTAAAATGGTGGAAGCCCTCAATGACAATGTCCATGCTAAAACTGGTTATATCCATGATAATCCTCTATATCTTTATGACAACAGGCACAACTCCGATATAGTTTTTTTGGTCAAAGTTGCCGAAAGGCCACGTGTGTCCACTTCAATCAGTGCATTCGTAACAACCCAACCATAACGAAACTTGTATTCGATCAAATAAGCCTCAAGTAACAAATTAGCAATTACATATTTTGTTGACATCTACACAAAAATTCCTCGCTTCGTGGGCTTATTTTCGTGGACAGAATTATGTCGGAGTAAAACCTCTCGCTTCGCCTCTTCCTCTCTGATAGCATCAGACTGGCGCTAAGACCAACACGACGCAGAAGACCATCAAAGTGGAAAGTTAGCTACAATGTTGCTGATGGTTGGTTGGTTTGTTGGTTGTCTAGTCACGATTTTTGTGGCGCAGGCAGCGGAGCCATACTGAACCATATTTGGCGGAGCATCCCTCGCTGATCTTGGTGCCATGGTTTACATTTCCAGACTAACCAGTTCACTGCTTCAGGATGGATCCCATCTGATCTAGCTAGCTACAGAGGAACAAATGCAACATCGCAAACAGGTTGGGTAAATGAATCTCATAAACCTAGCTCATGTGTTAAAATACGTTCATTCAAAAATGTTCAGTAGAAAGGGTGATCGCATAGCTAGCTAGTGTTTGTTTCAGTTAGCTAACATCCCCTGCTGTTTGTATCCCAACTTCAAATCCCGGATGTAACTAGCTAGCTAACGTCACTATTAAGAGCTTAGAAATTACGAACAATGGTCTGTAAATAACTAGTTTTTTTTATTATTATTTTTTATTCTAGTTTAGCTAACTAACCTGTGATAATTAGCAAGGCTGGCTAACTATTAACCAAAAATGGACTAAATTAGGCTAAATGCGTCAGTATGCTTACTTTCGGCTAGCGCTAACTAGCTGAACCGAACTAGTCCTGTTTGTCTGTTTTGAGACGCCGTAGCCAGTAATTCGCTTTATTAAAATAGTCACAATTAATCTAAAGTAACTCAAGAGATCTGTCATGAATTTAGAAGTTTTTTGCCGAAGAGATCTTTAGTCGCGCAATTTTACATCTAGCTAAGATGTTTGGTGCAGTAAAAATTGCATGAAAACGAGTTCTGTCGTGGAATGACAACAAAGAATCCCTGCTCTTGTCCAGTCACCTAACGAGGAGGTCGTAGACAGCTCCAGAAAACAGCCGAAGAAACCCCTCACCAAAATCCTAAAGGAATAAAAACGTCAAATGTTGTCATAATATATGTACGAACTCTACCGAACTGTGCCTTCATTTGAAAATACCTTAGCTTGAAAAACGAAAAAACAACAACCTGGCAATGGTATTGTTTGTCCATTTTGAGACGCTGTAGCCAGAATTAACCTAAGATAATCAAGAAATCCTTTTAATTTTTGTCGGAGATGTTAGTTGCGCAATTTTATGTCCAAGATGTTTGGTGCAGGATTTCTCAAGTTAAATTTTTTAGCATGAAAACGTTGTACTAAGCTAAAATGTGGGATTGTTTAAGATGGTCATACCAAGGATCATTTAGCTATTTGCATTTTAGGACTCCTTTAGGTATAAAACAAATACTTGATGAAACATTGAATTTGGCCTTACTGCTATTAGGGTTAGGGTGCAGTCGTCCTGTCCCCTTTGCAGAAAAGCATCCCCAAAGAATGATGTTTCCACCTCCATGCTTCACGGTTGGGATGGTGTTCTTGGGGTTGTACTCATCCTTCTTCTTCCTCCAAACACGGCGAGTGGAGTTTAGACCAAAAAGCTCTATTTTTGTCTCATCAGACCACATGACCTTCTCCCATTCCTCCTCTGGATCATCCAGATGGTCATTGGCAAACTTCAGATGGGCCTGGACATGCGCTGGCTTGAGCAGGGGGACCTTGCGTGCGCTGCAGGATTTTAATCCATGACGGCGTAGTGTGTTACTAATGGTTTTCTTTGAGACTGTGGTCCCAGCTCTCTTCAGGTCATTGACCAGGTCCTGCGTGTAGTTCTGGGCTGATCCCTCACCTTCCTCATGATCATTGATGCCCCACGAGGTGAGATCTTGCATGACCGAGGGTGATTGACCGTCATCTTGAACTTCTTCCATTTTCTAATAATTGCGCCAACCGTTGTTGCCTTCTCACCAAGCTGCTTGCCTATTGTCCTGTAGCCCATCCCAGCCACAATTTTATCCCTGATGTCCTTACACAGCTCTCTGGTCTTGGCTATTGTGGAGAGGTTGGAGTCTGTTTGATTGAGTGTGTGGACAGGTGTCTTTTATACAGGTAACAAGTTCAAACCGGTGCAGTTAATACAGGTAATGAGTAGAGAACAGGAGGGCTTCTTAAAGAAAAACTAACAGGTCTGTGAGAGCTGGAATTCTTACTGGTTGGTAGGTGATCAAATACTTATGTCATGCAATAAAATGCAAATTAATTACTTAAAAATCATGTCTCTCACAGTTGAAGTGTACCTATGATAAAAATTACAGACCTACATGCTTTGTAAGTAGGAAAACCTGCAAAATCGGCAGTGTATCAAATACTTGTTCTCCCCACTGTATATACACTTCCATACATTTTTCAAAACTGGTACCGGGTTACCTTCAGACTAGTCTTGAGTGTCTCACCTTTCCACAGAGGGGTCATATTGGTGTGTAGTCCAAACTGTTCGGACGCTACAGACAGAAGTTGTCAGGTCGGCGGTACCAACTATAGATGAGTCCCGTAAGCTTGTGGTGGTCGTAGAGCAAAACGGAGAATACCATGTTTGTGAGAGTCTCATAGGGCAGTCCCCGGCAAAAAAAAAAAACTTGGCCAACCGAGCGTTGCCTGTTCTTTCGACCAATCGATTGGTTGAAATGTTAAAACTTGTATTTTTCCAAATAGACACACCCTGTGTGTTTTTAATAAAATCAACTATATGCACTGAGCTTGTCTGATGCTTTAAGTACACTGTTTGATTTAAATATTTAAGACACACAAATGACTCGAGGGAAACAGATCAAGATAGCCTAACCAGAAGAAAACCTTGTTCCTCACCCTCCTCCTGCTGATTGTGCCATAATGCTCCTGTAGATGCCGGTAATAGGTTACACCAGGGGTCGGCAGCCTTTTCCAATTTCTACCGATCTGCGTGCCAGTTATGATTTTCACATGCACATTTTCATGGAACAGTTTCATTTAATTTATTATAGTCTTCGTATCTCAAAATCATTGTCATGTGGTTAATCTAAATTCTATCTAAATGAAAATGATACAAACCTAAAAAGTAACTTCTATTGCCAATATGTAAAAAAATTAATTAAAAAAAAGCCTACATAAAGCCAACGAATAAAAACGTTACAGCCTGCAGGTAGAAAATATCCAGATAATTTTTTTTAAATATCCTGTAAATCACATTGGCTACTCATGGCATCTCTACAACAACCTTGAAACATTTGTATCAACTATTAACTGGGTCCAGCCCGAAGCTTGTATAAAATAATCTGGGCCACAGCGAGCTCCGGACAGACACAGCTGAAGGCTATTTTCTGCAAGCGATAAGAAGCAATCAGGTATTTTATGACTGGATCAGAACATTACATTTTTCCCTGTAATGCCAAGTGGGAATTGAAAGGGAGAGAGCTGGAAATATTTTTCAAATACATTGAGGAACTATTGTCACTCAATGGATTCTAAAAAAATACTTGTTTGAGGTGAAGGGGGAAAAAAGTACTTTGAGAAGCTCCACAGCTCATTAGTGGTGGTGCATTAAGCCAATCAGAAATACTATCAGATCCCCAAATGGGCACATTTATAGGCCACGTAGCCTAGGCCTACTTCTATGCGTAATCAGGTGTGTGTCTTTACTCAACATTGACAGGAGCGCTCCAAACAAAAGACAATAAATAAACTCGTAAATGGAATGAAATAAACCAAAACGTGTTTCTCAGCAGGTTTTGAGCTCTGCAAACAACTTGTCCACTCTGAGAATGAGAACAGTAAATGACTGCAACAATAATAATATACTGAACAAAAATATAAACAAAACATTTTTTTTTTTTACTGAGTTACAGTTCATTTAAGGAAATCAGTCAATTGAAATAAATTCATTAGGCCCTAATCTATGGATTTCACATGACTAGGCAGGGGCGCAGCCATGGGTGGGCCTGAGATGGCATAGGCCCACCCACTTGGCAGCCAGGCCCACCCACTGGGGAGCCAGGCCCAGCCAATCAGAATGAGTTTTTCCCCACAAAAGGGCTTTATTACAGACAGAAATACTCCTCAGCACCCCCATCCCCCCTCAGACGATCCCGCAGGTGAAGAAGCCGGATGTGGAGGTCCTGGGCTGGCGTGGTTACATGTGGTTGGACTTACTGCCAAATTCTCTAAATGATTTTGGAGTCGGCTTATGGTAGAGAAATTAACAATAAATTATCTGGCAACAGCTCTGGTGGACATTCCTGCAGTCAGCATGCCAATTGCACACTCCCTCAACTTGAGACATCTGTGGCATAGTGTTGTGTGACAAAACTGCACATTTTAAAGTGGCCTTTTATTGTCCCCAGCACAAGGTGCACCTGTGTAATGATCATGCTGTTTAATCGGCTTCTTGATATGCCACACCTGTTAGGTGGATGGATTCTTGGCAAAGGAGAAGTGCTCACTAGCAGGGATGTAAACCAATTTGTGCAATTGTTTTTTGAGAAATACGTTTTTTGTGCGAATGGAAAATTGTTTATTTTATATTTTTCAGCTCATGAAACATGGGACTAACACTTTACATGTTGCGCTTATATTTTTGAATGGATTAACAGAAGTTGCCGTAACCAAACAAACATTGTAGATTAGAAATTATGGGAATTAACGGTAATGTACTGGTGATATATGTAATGGGGAATTGATAGACACTAACAATCAAAGGGCAAACAATTCACACAATGAAGTGATAAAACAATGAATGCGCAAAAAATGGCGGGAGAGAGCGCATTCTGGAGCGAGACTTGCCTTGTGCATCTTAGCCACACTCCCTTTCTTCCTGAATGGATTAGTCCACTGTGACCCGGCACAAATCAGGCGGGTGTCTCGTATGCCATAAAAAAAAAATATATTTGCGACTGCTCGTCTAAAGACCTCTGTCGACTAAATGGGCTCAGCCTTATGATCCTTCCATAGTTTGTAGGCCAAACCGTTCGGAAGCTACAGACATTACGTAAAGAAAACCGATTTTTCGGGACGTCTCATGGTCTGACAAACACCGCTGTAGCTGGGTCACCTTCCACCGCAGGTGCGGAAGGCCGCCATTAGCGGATGCGGTGGATTGAGACGCAGCCATTGCAAAAAACAGCTATATCTAGCTTAAACAGATGGATTTCGATTGGGATTTTTTAATGCTAGTTAGATTTCCGTGGGGACGCGGATATCGACTCTAGTTTTTTTTTTTAAGACCTTCACATGAAAAACGAGGAAAAAGCGGCAGTAGTACTGTTTGTCCATCTTGAGACACCGTAGCCTCTTGTGCCAAACAGCTGAAAAATATTGTTTGCCGAAGACCAAAAAACGTCACAATGTAATCATAATATCCAGGGCTGATAGCATCAGCTGATATTGCACCAACTAGATTCAAAGAATAATGTCCTACCTTAAAAACAGCGGTGTATTTTAAATGTACCTGCTCGTGAGTTGCTGCTGGAACTATTGCTGCTGTAATTTACAGTGCTATGAAAAAGGATTTGCCCCCTTTTCTAATTTTCTCTACTTTTGCATATTTGTGATACTGAATGTTATCAGATCTTCAACCAAAACCTAATATTAGATAAAGGGAACATAAGTGAACAAATAACACAACAATTACATAATTATTTCATAAACAAAGTTATGCAACACCCAATTCCCCTGTGTGAAAAAGTAATTGCCCCCTTACACTCAATAACTGGTTGTGCCACCTTTAGCTGCAATGAGAGGAATTTTGGCCCACTCTTCCATGCAGAACTGCTTTAACTCAGTGACATGTGGGTTTTCAAGCATGAACTGCTCGTTTCAACATCTCAATTGGGATTAGGTCTGGACTTTGACTAGGCCATTCCAAAACATCCAATTTGTTGCTTTTTAGCAATTTTCATGTAGACTAGATTGTGTGTTTTGGATCATTGTCTTGCTGCATGACCCAGCTGCGCTTCAGCTTCAGCTCACAGACGGATGGCCTGACATTCTCCTGAATAATTCTCTGATACAGAGCAGAATTCATGGTTCCTTCTATTAAGGCAAGTCGTCCAGGTCCTGAGGCAGCAAAGCATCACACCACCACCACCATGCTTGACCTTTGGTATGATGTTCTTACTGTGGAATGCAGAGTTTGGTTTTCGCCAGGCATAATGGGACCCATCTCGTCCAAATTCTTGGAAGAACGTTCCTTGGACAGATGATTCAAAAGTATAACTTTTTGGACGACATGGTTCCAGTAATGTCTGGCGAAAACCAAACTCTGCATTCCACAGTAAGAACATCATACCAAAGGTCAAGCATGGGAAGTGGAGCCTGCGAGAAGAGCCCTGTGGTTTCAGGCTATTCGGCGTGGGAAATTAATTCACTGTTCAGCAGGACAATAACCTAAAACACAAGGCCAAATCTACACTGGAGTTGCTTACCAAGAAGACAGTGAATGTTCCTGAGTGGCCGAGTTACACTTTGACTTAAATCTACTTGAAAATCTATGGCAAGACATGAAAATGGTTGTCTTGCAGTGATCAACAACCAATTTGACAGAGCTTGAAGAATTGTGAAAATAATAACGGGTAAATGTTGCAGAATCCAGGTGTGGAAAGCTCTTAGAGACTTACCCAGAAAGACTCACAGCTGGAATCGCTGCCAAAGGTGCTTCTACAAAGTATTGGCTCAGGGGTGTGAATACTTATGTAAATGAGATATTTGTATTTATATTTCAATACAATTGCAAACATTTCAAGTATGTTTTAACTTTGTCATTATGGTGTATTGTGTGTAGATGGGTGAGAAAAATAATTTGGGCTGTAAAACAAAATGTGGAATAAGTCAAGGGGTATGAATGCTTTCTGAAGGCACTGTATGTGGATCATTTCTAGCCCAAATGAAATGAACTAAATTTAATTGGTGCATGAATGTGATACTAGCTATATTGAAGGTTGATAAGGGCCAACTCGGACAATCATCTATTGATATCTTGTTGACAGTTCTTCATTTAATCTCTCTCTCTCTCTGTCTCTCTGTCTCTCTGTCTCTCTCTCTCTGTGCCTCTCTGTCTCTCGGTCTCTCTCTCTCTCTGTCTCTCTGTCTCTCTCTCTCTCTGCCTCTCTGTCTCTCTGTCTCTCTCTCTCTCTGTCTCTCTGTCTCTCTGTCTCTCTCTCTCTCTGCCTCTCTGTCTCTCTCTCTCTCTGTCTCTCTCTCTCTCTCTGTCTCGCTCTCTCTGCCTCTCTCTCTGTCTCTCTCTCTCCTCTCTCTCTCTCTCTCTCTCTCTCTCTACTCTCTCTCTCTCTCTCTCTCTCTCTCTCTCTCTCTCCTCTCTGCCTCTCTCTCTGTCTCTCTCCTCTCTCGCCTCTCTCTCGCTCTCTCTCTCTCTCTGCCTCTCTCTGTCTCTGTCTATCTCTCTCTCTCTCTCTCTCTCTCTCTCTCTCTCTCTCTGTCTCTGTCTCTGTCTCTGTCTCTGTCTCTCTCTCTCTCTCTCTCTCTCTCTCTCTCTCTCTCTCTCTCTCTCTCTCTCTCTCTGTCTCTCTCTCTGTCTCTGCCTCTCTGCCTCTCTGCCTCTCTGCCTCTCTGCCTCTCTGCCTCTTGCCTCTCTCTCTCTCTCTCTCTCTCTGTCTCTGTCTCTCTGCCTCTCTCTCTCTCTCTCTGCCTCTGTCTCTGTCTCTCTCTGCCTCTCTCTCTGTCTCTGTCTCTCTCTCTCTCTCTCTCTCTCTCTCTGTCTCTGTCTCTGTCTCTCTCTCTCTCTGTCTCTCTCTCTCTCTCTCTCTCTCTCTCTCTCTCTCTCTCTCTCTCTCTCTCTCTCTGTGTCTCTGTCTCTGTCTCTGTCTCTCTGCCTCTCTCTCTCTCTCTCTGTCTCTGTCTCTCTCTGCCTCTGTCTCTGTCTCTGTCTCTGTCTCTCTCTCTCTCTGTCTCTCTCTCTCTCTGTCTCTGTCTCTGTCTCTGTCTCTGTCTCTGTCTGTCTCTCTCTCTCTCTCTAGAGCAGATCCCAGAGCGTGGAATAACAGAAGGAACAGCACTTCGTTCCACCCTGCCTCTGTTCACCCGGGGAGGAGGGGCCGGTGGGGGCCCTATGGTAGTGAATAGAAATGTTCACTACAACATAGTGGTGAAGATGGAAAATGGAGACTGGGGATATATGGTGAGTGTCAATAAGAGGAAGTGACGATCCATGTCCTGTGAAATGGGCTACAACCGTTAGGACAGATCAGGGGTAGCCTGATCCCAGATCAGTGGTAGCCTGATCCCAGATCAGTGGTAGCCCGATCCCCGATCAGTGGTAGCCCGATCCCAGATCTGTGGTAGCCCGATCCCAGATCAGTGGTAGCCCGATCCCAGATCAGTGGTAGCCCGATCCCAGATCAGTGGTAGCCCGATCCCAGATCAGTGGTAGCCCGATCCCAGATCTGTGGTAGCCTGATCCCAGATCTGTTCGCGCTGTCGTGACAATGAGCTTGGCTTCCATTTACCACATATGATCCACTTGTTCATGGACCATAGGAGTTGGCGAGACAGCACAAACAGACCTGGGACCAGACTAGAAATGTCACCCGGGATTTACACATCCAGTTTGTTTCTCTTTCTGTCTCCTGTAGATGAATGAATGAACACTACCGGTCGAAAGTTTTAGAACACCTCCTCATCCCAGGGTTTTTCTTTATTTTTACTATTTTCTACATTGTAGAATAATAGTGAAGACATCAAAACTATGAAATGACACATATGGAATCATGCAGTAACCAAAAAAGTGTTAAACAAATCCAAATATTTTATATTTGAGATTCTTCAAATAGCCACCCTTTGCCTTGATGACAGCTTTGCACACTCTTGGCATTCTCTCAACCAGCTTCATGAGGTAGTCACCTGGAATGCATTTCAATTAACAGGTGTGCCTTCTTAAAAGTTAATTTGAGGAATGTATTTCCTTCTTAATGCGTTTGAGCCAATCAGTTGTGTTGTGACAAGGTAGGGGGGGTATACAGAAGACAGCCCTATTTGGTAAAAGACCAAGTCCATATTATGATATTATATATGATGTCATATTATATTATGACTGACCCTGTGTCTGTCTGTCTATAGATGACTGACCCTGTGTCTGTCTGTCTATAGATGACTGACCCTGTGACCTTCAACGTGGGTGGCTGTCTATAGATGACTGACCCTGTGACCCTCAACGTGGGTGGCTGTCTATAGATGACTGACCCTGTGACCTTCAACGTGGGTGGCTGTCTATAGATGACTGACCCTGTGACCCTCAACGTGGGTGGCTGTCTATAGATGACTGACCCTGTGTCTGTCTGTCTATAGATGACTGACCCTGTGACCCTCAACGTGGGTGGCTGGCTGTCTATAGATGACTGACCCTGTGACCTTCAACGTGGGTGGCTGGCTGTCTATAGATGACTGACCCTGTGTCTGTCTGTCTATAGATGACTGACCCTGTGTCTGTCTGTCTATAGATGACTGACCCTGTGTCTGTCTGTCTATAGATGACTGACCCTGTGACCTTCAACGTGGGTGGCTGTCTATAGATGACTGACCCTGTGACCCTCAACGTGGGTGGCTGTCTATAGATGACTGACCCTGTGACCTTCAACGTGGGTGGCTGGCTGTCTATAGATGACTGACCCTGTGTCTGTCTGTCTATAGATGACTGACCCTGTGACCCTCAACGTGGGTGGCTGGCTGTCTATAGATGACTGACCCTGTGACCTTCAACGTGGGTGGCTGTCTATAGATGACTGACCCTGTGACCTTCAACGTGGGTGGCTGTCTATAGATGACTGACCCTGTGACCTTCAACGTGGGTGGCTGGCTGTCTATAGATGACTGACCCTGTGACCCTCAACGTGGGTGGCTGGCTGTCTATAGATGTGTGACCCTGTGTCTGTCTGTCTATAGATGACTGACCCTGTGACCCTCAACGTGGGTGGCTGTCTGTACTCCACGTCCCTGTCCACCCTGCAGCGTTACCCTGACTCCATGCTAGGGGCCATGTTCCGCGGGGACTTCCCCACCACCCTTGATGCTCAGGTACTGTGGAGAGTTCATGTGTGTACATGCATACCTGTATGTATACATTTTGGTGGACATGTTTATCTCTCAGGGTGTGTAGGGTGTAAATCCAGGGTTAGGAAAGTATTCAGACCCCTTGACTTTCTCCACATTTTGTTACGTGTCAGCCTTATTCTAAAATTGATTAAATATTTTTTCCCCCCTCATCAATCTACACACAATACCCCATAATGACAATGCAAAAACAGGTTTTTAGAAAATTTTGCAAATGTATTAAAAATGGAAATATCACATTTACGTAAGTATTCAGACCCTTTACTCAGTACTTTGTTTAAGCACCTTTGGCTGCGATTACAGCATCAAGTCTTCTTGGGTATGATATTACAAGCTTGACACATCTGTTTTTGGGGAGTTTCTCCCATTCTTCGCTGCCACCATCATGCTTCACCGTAGGGATAGAGGCCACTGTGTTCTTGGGGACCTTAAATGCTGCAGACATTTTTGCTGCCCTTCCCCAGATCTGTGCCTCGACACAATCCTGTCTCTGAGCTCTACGGACAATTCCTTCGACCTCATGGCTTGGTTTTTTCTATTTTAGAATAAGGCTGTAACGTAACAAAATGTGGAAAAAGGTAAGGGGTCTGAATACTTTCCAAATGCACTGTACATACCTGTGTGTCTGTGTGACATGGGAATATGACAAACTTTGATTTGACAGGGACACTACTTCATCGACCGAGACGGACCCCTGTTCCGCTACGTCCTGAACTTCCTCCGCACCTCGGAGCTCACCCTGCCCTGCGACTTCACGGAGATGGATCTGCTGCGGAAGGTAGCCGAGAGGTTAGAGCGGTGGACCAGCAACTGGAGGGTTGCCGGTTCAAATCTGAGCTAGCAGAGGACTATCCTCTGAGTGTGTTTCTCGGGGGGTGTTAGGATATCGTTTCGGTGTCTTTGTGACATTTGACAATAAAGTAATCTCCTTTTTCTTCTTCGAAGGAGGCGGACTTCTACCAGATCGAGCCGTTGATCCAGTCTCTCACCGACACCAAACCTCTCTACCCCCTGGACACCTTCGAGGAGCTGGTGGAGCTCTCGTCAACCAGGAAACTGTCCAAGTACTCCAACCCTGTTGCCGTCATCATCACCCAGCTCACCATCACCACCAAAGTCCACTCCCTACTGGATGGGGTCTCTAACAGCTTCACCAAGTGGATCAAACACATGATGGATTCCAGGGACTTCCAGGTGTCCTTCACCTTTGGGCCGTGTGACTACCACCAGGAGGTGTCTCTCAGAGTACTCCTGGTGGACTACATCTCCAAACAGGGCTTCAGCATCCGGAACACCAGGGTCCACCACATGAGTGAACGGGCCAATGAGAACACAGTGGAGCACCACTGGACTTTCTGCCGACTAGCTCGCAAGGTCGACGACTGACAATTATGATTTGGGGTTCATTTTATTGCTGAGTTGAAATCAACTCCTAGTACTTACTCCCTGGCTGTAACCCTGGTCATAATCCTCCCTGGCTGTAACCCTGGTCATAATCCTCCCTGGCTGTAACCCTGGTCATAATCCTCCCTGGCTGTAACCCTGGTCATAATCCTCCCTGGCTGTAACCCTGGTCATAATCCTCCCTGGCTGTAACCCTGGTCATAATCCTCCCTGGCTGTAACCCTGGTCATAATCCTCCCTGGCTGTAACCCTGGTCATAATCCTCCCTGGCTGTAACCCTGGTCATAATCCTCCATGGCTGTAACCCTGGTCATAATCCTCCCTGGCTGTAACCCTGGTCATAATCCTCCCTGGTTGTAACCCTGGTCATAATCCTCCCTGGCTGTAACCCTGGTCATAATCCACCCTGGCTGTAACCCTGGTCATAATCCTCCATGGCTGTAACCCTGGTCATAATCCTCCCTGGCTGTAACCCTGGTCATAATCCTCCCTGGCTGTAACCCTGGTCATAATCCTCCCTGGCTGTAACCCTGGTCATAATCCTCCCTGGCTGTAACCCTGGTCATAATCCTCCCTGGCTGTAACCCTGGTCATAATCCTCCCTGGCTGTAACCCTGGTCATAATCCTCCCTGGCTGTAACCCTGGTCATAATCCTCCCTGGCTGTAACCCTGGTCATAATCCTCCATGGCTGTAACCCTGGTCATAATCCTCCCTGGCTGTAACCCTGGTCATAATCCTCCCTGGCTGTAACCCTGGTCATAATCCACCCTGGCTGTAACCCTGGTCATAATCCACCCTGGCTGTAACCCTGGTCATAATCCTCCATGGCTGTAACCCTGGTCATAATCCTCCTGGCTGTAACCCTGGTCATAATCCTCCCTGGCTGTAACCCTGGTCATAATCCTCCCTGGCTGTAACCCTGGTCATAATCCTCCCTGGCTGTAACCCTGGTCATAATCCTCCCTGGCTGTAACCCTGGTCATAATCCTCCCTGGCTGTAACCCTGGTCATGATCCTCCCTGGCTGTAACCCTGGTCATAATCTTCCATGGCTGTAACCCTGGTCATAATCCTCCCTGGCTGTAACCCTGGTCATAATCCACCCTGCTGTAACCCTGGTCATAATCCTCCCTGGCTGTAACCCTGGTCATAATCCACCCTGGCTGTAACCCTGGTCATAATCCTCCCTGGCTGTAACCCTGGTCATAATCCTCCCTGGCTGTAACCCTGGTCATAATCCACCCTGCTGTAACCCTGGTCATAATCCACCCTGGCTGTAACCCTGGTCATAATCCTCCCTGGCTGTAACCCTGGTCATAATCCTCCCTGGCTGTAACCCTGGTCATAATCCACCCTGGCTGTAACCCTGGTCATAATCCTCCCTGGCTGTAACCCTGGTCATGATCCTCCCTGGCTGTAACCCTGGTCATAATCCTCCCTGGCACCCAGAACCAAATCTCACAACTCTATTACTTTAAACCTGAAAGGATTTGATATGTTCACGGAATATTGTAATTATTCATGTTGCTTTTTGAAGTTTTGATAGGCATGGTGGAAGTTTCGCCATATTGCTTTGGGTTGATTTGGGATTCAGCGTCAGTGTCTGTGGTAGTGATATGAAGATGGTCCTCGAAGGCGTAGGTACTAGGGCCCAGTTGATAACTGACTGACGTGGTACATATTGATATGATGATAATTAGCATTTATAAAACACCTTTCATCAGATTTCAAAGCGCTTTAATTAAATAGCACCATGCGAAATTCTGGGGTGCAACGGTACGTTTTAAATCTTACACCCTCTTTATTTGACTAAATGACTGGTTTCAGAGCTTTGGTCAAAGACGCATTATAGCGTAGGTCACTACACAGCCTTTTTAAAGGAATATTCGCCGACCTTCAAGGAGATCGCATTCAGCGTTCCGCATGTCGGCTCAAATGCAAATGACTTTTTAAAAGTGAGTTGCGCTACAACGCGCCTTGGATTGAGTCCTGTCCATAAAGTGGATGGAGTCACCACGATTTGGTATCTGCCTTTATAAATTGAAGTTGATCACTTAAGAAATACTGTATTTGGTGGTTACGTGCAGACCACTTAACATGCATTACTATACACTGAGTGTACAAATCATTAGGAACACCTTCCTAATATTGAGTTGCACCCCCTTTTCCCTTCAGAACAGCCTCAATTCGTCTGGCCATAGACTGTACAAGGTGTAAAGCGTTCCACAGGGATGCTGGCCCATGTTGACTCCAATGCTCCACAGTTGTGTCAAACTGGCTGGATGTCTTTTGGGTGGTGGACCATTCTTGATACACACTGGAAACTGTTGAGAGTGGAAAAACCCAGCAGCGTTGCAGTTCTTGACACAAACCGGTGCGTCTGGCTAGGGCTGTGGCAGTTGTCATGCAAAAGACTGCCGGTCTCACGGTAATTGGCCGTTAATTAACATAAACATGTTCAGCATCTCCAAGCCTCCAAGCCACTGATGCGGGCCTTTGGAACATCTACATTTAAAAAGTCTAATAAATCAATTGAATATAAACCATCACAATAAATCCATTATTTATTTTAAGCAGGTTTTATTTTATTTATTTCACCTTTATTTAACCAGGTAAGCCAGTTGAGAACAAGTTCTCATTTACAACTGCGACCTGGCCAAGATAAAGCAAAGCAGTGCGATAAAAACAACACCACAGAGTTACATATGGGGTAAAACAAAACATAAAGTCAAAAATACAACAGAAAATATATATACAGTGTGTGCAAATGTAGCAAGTTATGGAGGTAAGGCAATAAATAGGCCATAGTGCAAAATAATTACAATTAGTATTAACACTGGAGTGATAGATGTGCAAGAGATGATGTGCAAATAGAGATACTGGGGTGCAAATGAGCAAAATAACAATATGGGGATGAGGTAGTTGGATGGGCTAATTTCAGATGGGCTGTGTACAGGTGCAGTGATCGGTAAGGTGCTCTGACAACTGATGCTTAAAGTTAGTGAGGGAGATAAGAGTCTCCAGCTTCAGAGATTTTTGCAATTTGTTCCAGTCATTGGCAGTAGAGAACTGGAAGGAATGGCGGCCAAAGGAGGTGTTGGCTTTGGGGATGACCAGTGAGATATACCCGCTGGAGCGCAGACTACGGGTGGGTGCTGCTATGGTGACCAATGAGCTAAGATAAGGCGGAGATTTGCCTAGCAGTGATTTATAGATGGCCTGGAGCCAGTGGGTTTGGCGACGAATATGTATTGAGGATCAGCCAACAAGAGCGTACAGATCACAGTGGTGGGTAGTATATGGGGCTTTGGTGACTAAACGGATGGCACTGTGATAGACTACATCCAATTTGCTGAGTGTTGGAGGCTATTTTGTAAATGACATCACCAAAGTCAAGGATCGGTAGGATAGTCAGTTTTACGAGGGCATGTTTGGCAGCATGAGTGAAGGAGGCTTTGTTGCGAAATAGGAAGCCGATTCTAGATCTAACTTTGGATTGGAGATTCTTAATGTGAGTCTGGAAGGAGAGTTTACAGTCTAACCAGACACCTAAGTATTTGTAGTTGTCCACATACTCTAGGTCCAAAGAAACATTATGATATGGAGAAAATGTATCTCAGAAGAACAGAATATGAGTTGTCCTACTGTATGTTATCTGGCTATGCTCCATGCCATAGGCTGTAGGCTTGTTCATTTAGCAGACAAGATATGCTTATAAGTCCTGTGCCATTATTTTATTATAAGATTTTACAGTAAGAAGAATATAATTGAACATTTTGTGCAATTGGCATGCTGACTGCAGGAATGTCCACCAGAGCTGTTCCCAGATAATTTAATGTTAATTTCTCTACCATAAGCCGCCTCCATCGTTTTAGAGAATTTGGCAGTACGTCCAACCGGCCTTACAACCGCAGACCACGTGTAACCACGCCAGCCCAGGACCTCCACATCCGGCTTCTTCACCTGCGGGATCGTCTGAGACCAGCCACCCGGACAGCTGATGTAACTGAGGAGTATTTCTGTTTGTAATAAAGCCCTTTTGTGGGGAAAAACGAATTCTGATTGGCTGGGCCTGGCTCCCAAGTGGGTGGGCCTTGTTCTCAAATGGGTGGGCATATGCCCTCCCAGGCCCACCCATGGCAGCACCCCTGCCCAGTCTTGAAATCCATAGATTAGGGCCTAATGAATTTATTTCAGTTGACTGATTTTCTTATATGAACTGTAACTCAGTAAAATCGTTGAAATTGTTGCATTTTATATTTTTGTTCATTATACTACTGAAAATCTTTCTGCCCACCCACTTATCAGCATATCCAATGAACCAGTGCACTTGAAGAAAGTGATCGCTTTTTCTGGCACCTATGAATGTATTCAAAACCGTGAGGGGGGGAGTGAACGAGGGTATAGGGAGAGATAAGGGGATTGGAATTGGAATGCAAATCAAGCCCAAATGGGCACCGAACAGAACCAGAGAGAAAGAGGCGAAGCGAGAGGTTTAAGCCGCCCAAAATATGTCCACGAAAATAAGCCCACATAGTGAGGACATTTTGTTTGGCGGTCAACGAGCAAAGCCACAGGAAGCAGTGGTGCTGCAGTAACCCCTGAAAAGTCTGAATATTTTATTTTTTTCAGCACAAATGCACTGATTTAAGTGGATGCATGTGACATCTAGGCAAATTAGAAGAAAAACAAATTATATCAGTTATGCCTGTTGTCATAGAGAGAGGATCATCTTGGATATAACCAGTTTTAGCACGGACTTTCCATTTGAGGGCTTCCACCATTTGAAAGTAGTCAATTGGGTGGAGATTCTTATGAGTTGGGAGCGATCAGCCAATGAATCAGAAGAAAATTGACAACTTTAAAACAGGAGTTGGAACCGGTTCAGGGATCAGAACCGAAAATGTAAAATAACGAAATATTTCAAGGAACAGAAATGGAACCCGGGAACGAAAGTGATCCATACTGTTCCAGAACAGAACCGCTATTTTAAAAGCATGGAAACCGGTGAATAACATTATTTTGTTCCAGACAATTTATTCGAGTCCCACAAAAAACCGC